TCTCAGCGCCCTGACTGCGGGAAGCAATAATGCATACCCAACCCTAATGTATGGGTGTGCAGATAGGGCTGAGCTGTCAGTTGATAGATTAGAGGGGTTAAGAGTACCCCCCCTACTGTAGTGTGTGTCGCGTGCATGCTTGTGCATGTACACGCAGACCGGAGCAAATAAATGGAGCTGTCTGCCCCATTGACTGACAGTTACACATGGAGGGATTGTACTGCTGGATAAAGCTGTAGGCACAGGCAGATAAAAACCAGGGGTATTAGTTGATTAATGATCAAAAGACCTCCTTTCATGGTTTGACCATGTGAGGCGAAGGATTGGAAAAAACATGAAAAAAAAAGGAGGAAAGCAAGATAGAGTTCTTGCTAAAAAGCCTGCCAGTTTGAGCCAGCTACGAGGGAACACATGATGGGTTAAGATTTACAGCGACGCCGGGACAGTATTTTGTTTCGGGCAGTCAGTCGTGAGGCATGTATCAAGAATTACAAGTGAGGGAAATGAGTTATACTACCCCTGTCTTAGTACTAATCAGAACATATCGTCCCGGGCTCAGAATAGGGCTGGGCTTTAGTAAATGTAATATAAGAAGTGTATTTTTCCAGCCCTGAAAGCCCTTGATAAACTCTTCAAAGAAGATCCACATCAGCAGAGACAGAGGGGACTAAGCTGCGAGCTGAGTTTTACGCCACTGATAACTGATTTAATGAAAGACTTGACGGAAAGTGTTCCTTTTCCCCTGCCTTTGATTTCACTTGCTCTCCATGCCTATGTATATCTGTCTCTCCCTTGTTGTCTCTGCGCCTCTCTTTCTCCTCTATCGAGGCATTAAAGGAGGATTTAGATGGCTCTGTTGTTATTTCTGTAGCACAATGGATCACCCCGTGTAATGTAACCAAACCCTTTTCCTTGCTTTTAACTGGCCCCTCCCTATAACAGCCACCCCTCCGCTCTCTGTCTTTCTATCTCTCTCACACACCCCTTCCCTCCATCTCGTCCTCCAATTCTAAAGAATTAGACAGGGTATAAATGGTGCCTATGGCAGGGGCAGACACAGGCACAGATCCTCTCAAAGGGCTCCATTGACTGGTGTTTACTTAAGGCCGGGGACATTAGCCGCTGCTAAATCTACCTCAATCTGTGCCTCTTGGCTTCCCTGGTTCTACATGTTCTAGTCTGACTGCAACACAGACGCCTGCCAGCTCTTAGATCACAGCCACAGTGCAAGCGTGTGTGTGTATGCATATACTTTTGCAATGCATCCTTTTGTGTGTGTGTGTGTGAGATCGCTGACATTAGGCATGTAATGACCTAGCCTATCAGCGGTGTAACAGCACAAGGGTACAGCAGTGTCAGGTACCTTGTGTGCATGCGGTAACAGCAACAGTGAAGCCGACTGGATTTCACAACAGCGGCAGAATTTACTGCAGGTTTTCAACGCGAATTAGCATTAATTTGAGAGTTCCTTTTGAGAGTTGTGTGCATAGTAATGAAACAGAGGACTGGAGAATGCCTGTCATTGAGAGAAAATGAGATACGACGCACGCCAAGACTAACAGGCACTTAGTGCACACATTTAGCTGAAATTCATATTCTTTCCTAAACACTATCATGAAATAACAATAATTGATCTGTGTGCTGTAATTGTTCTCATGGGCGAAAGGAGGGGCCGGGGCCAGAGAGAGCTCGTTTTACTGTAATTTTCTCATTTATGATGCACATCTATTACCTATCATTAAAGTTGAATGCACAGCAAGCTGTGAACAGCACTACACATCAAACTCACAGGGAAAGACACAGGCTGGATAAAGGGCCAAATTTCAGCAAATGACTCCACGGACTGATCAGCTGGGGAATAGGCAGAAATAGGGCCTTTAAAGGATCCTCTCATCAAAGCAGCATCCTGCCAGCTCCCCCCCAGCCATACAAAAGTCACACACACACACACACACACACACACACACACGCATTGACACACTAACGTACACACACACAGACAGGCAGACACACAAATCCTCTTTTGGGAATCAATAATTCAGCTAAAGAGAAGCACATGCTACGCCCCACTGCACTAATCAATAGAAAGCCAAATGTTATCTTTTCATCTCATTCTCTGACTTTCACATTCTAATCTGGGCTGGCTAGCTCATGCTGGACAGCATCAGAGAACTCCATTAAATCAGAATATAATGCAGACATACAGAAAGGGATAAAGGGACCCCAAATTCAGAGGGCGCCTCTGTTTATTCTGACAATGTTAGCTCCTTTCTTTTACAATAGAGTCCTTAGTTGTAACCGAGCGCAGATGTTCTATAAATTTTCTATGCATAGAATCTCAAATATGTGTCATAAAATGGAGGCGAGAGAAAGAGAATGGCAACACTTTAGTATGAGTTACGCCCCACTCCCCCTCCCTATCCCTGCAGGATATTTATGCCCCCCACCCACATCTCTCGGGAGAATGAGGCCATACCTTGAGAATGCAGCAATGAAGATAAATAGAACGGCTTGTGTGATTTGAGACTGATGACTAAATCTCAGTGGAGTGTGCAAAATAGGGGACTTGTAGTGAATTTGTGTGTTATTTGTGTGCACACGTGAGGCCAAAGTGGCTGTTGTGCGATACTGTGGACTGTGTGGACTGAACCTGCAGCCAAGGCCCTTCTCCCCTCTCTGTAATCGAGCTATCAATGGGCATTAATGAGAGTGTGAGATAGCTCTCCACAGCCCTCTCGGCCACATCGCCCAACACTCTGGCCTCTCTCCCCGCCTCCCTTTCTCCTACTGACCCCATCCGTGGCTCGATCATATCAACCTACGAGGCCGCTGGCTGCGCTAACTAACCATGAAAATGAATACGAATGTCGGCTGATTTATAAACGGAAATGTACGCTCTCCTCGCCTCCCCACGCTCCCACTATGGCTCTCGTTTGCATGACACAGGACCCTAGCCGCTCGCTCAAGGATACATCAATCGCTGACGGTGGCAAGATCGGATCTGCGCTGACCTTGGGAGTGAACTGCAGCATAGGCGAAGGAGGCAGGGGGCCCTGTTGCAACAGAGCAGGCAGGCGGGCAGAAAGCGAGAGGAAGGAGGAAGAGGGGAAAAGAAAAGTGGAAGGGAGGGAGGGAGGGGTAGAATGGAGGGGCATGCCCTGATTGAGAGGCCCCCGAGATGAGCAACTCTGAGATATGAGAAGGGGGAGGGAGGGAGGGGGGGGGGGGGGGGGGGGGGGGGGGGGGGGGGGGGGGGGGGGGGGATGGAAGGAGTAGTGAAAGGGGGGGTGGGAGTGAGAGGGAAGCCATATGGCAGCAGCACAAATGTATTAAACTATAAATCAGGGTGAGAGCTAGTGGACTGCCAGGTGGGGCTGCAGGCAGGTTGCCCCTGCAGGCAGGTCGGATCTCCTGGAAGCGCACTGCTTCAAAATCCAGCTCCACATGGAAAAGGCTGAAAACATCACTGATATTTTGCTTTATTGTGCTCTATCAATTTTATTGCATAAACTAATTTTCTTTCTGTCTTGATAGGGGAAATTTGCCACATTTAATGTTAATTTATCCAGTGTTTGAACATGCTCAACACTGATGCCAATAAAACTGAGTTTTGGAGCTGATATCAGAACAATAATTTTTTTGATACCTTTCATAAGGGGAAAATAAACTTTTTATTTGCTCTATAAGTTTTTTGGGTCAATACTTCAGTGTTAAATAGAAAGTTAGAAAAGTTTCCTAATCGAGATCAGGGAATGTCTGATTACAGAGTGAGTAAACAAGACTACATATTTCTCCAAATATTCAATGCCAACTTCCAGCTCTTCACATGTTTTAACACTCTGTGCCAAGGACACATCTGGGTCAGGGTTTGATACCCTGCCCAACAGTGTCTATTCCTCTATGGATGCACTTGAAATATTTTGCACAAAAAATGTTTGATTTAAGTTTAAAGCAATCATATCACATATAATGCTATCTAAATACAGAAATTAAACGTAACTATTGCATAAAGTTCAACTGGACACCTTCAGCGTGCCGTTCAGCCACTGCGTTACATCACAGCGTCACAATAATGGACAGAAATTAGTGTTACACATGTGGTAGAAAAACAAATAGAGTAATCCCCAAAAGGCTTCCATTTTAATCCCTTGATGATGTCTGGGTAGTGTGCCCAGCCAGTGTCCTGGCAGCCATCAGGGCCCAGGCCTGGGCTCCCATCCCAGAGGCACTGATGCATACTACAGCTAGAGCAAACACGGGCAGCCCTCCTCATGCCTGCTCTCCGTCAGAACCATACCGACCGACCATCACAGCAGAGAAAAAAAGGAGGGCTCATAACCTGTTTGACCCCTTCTTGTAAAGCAATACAATTAGGCATTTGTGCTGGTTAGTGAGGAACAACTTTATAATTAAATCTCTTATTCACCTCAATCAAAAAAGTGGCACTGAAGCATTTAAACAAAGCCCTACATTCAGCTTGCAAATGCTTCATTAGTAAATTAAGTGTGGATCCTAATTCTCTCGTTTGTTTTAAAAGCTGCCTGTCAAGTTATTTTGATGGACAAAAGCCCCCGAATCTACGAGACGTGTTGTTCAACACTTTACACTTCATGCCAGCGCACTGCATCACATCAAGATCTCATCAGTTTGCAGGTGAAAGGATGGATGGAGGTTACTGGACAGCTCCCAGTAACGGTCTGGTGGGCTGGACTAACTCAAACCTTGATCCCTGATCCCTGAGACACACACAAAGTCACACACATACACGCTGACATAGACATCCAAACTCCAGCGAGGTAACCTGCCATCTGAAACCATCACAGCCAAGGCCAGCTATCCATCAAATCCCATCTCCACTCAGGGATGAGAGGGGGATGAAGGGAGGGCGGTGGAAGAGAGAGGAGGGAGGGGTGGTGAGGGTGAGGGAGGGAGGCAGGGCAGGAGTGTAGGAGGGGATGAGTAGGCTTGAGGAATGCAAGAAGAGCAGAAGAGCAGCGTACCTTGGTCTGGAGATAGTGGGGGTAGTAGTAGGTGTACTGAGGGTACATTGGCTGCTGCTCCAATCGCTTGCCCATGTAGCTGGAATCCTTAGCACTGAGGCAGGGAATGGTGACACAGGGTGGAAGCTGCCAAGTAGCTAGCAATGGGAAAGAGGCAGCGGAGGGGCTGTGCGATTCCTGTCTTTGCTGTCCGCACCACTGTGACGCTAGCCGGCTCTCCAGGGAGAAGACAGGGACTGCGTGCCGGACAGCAGCTGGGAGGAGGTTTGCCTCTGATGGGGAAGCTCCTCACCGGTCCGGAGCCTCAGTTATCGGATGCTCACTCAGTCTCTCACTGCTGGATCAATGGAAATATTTCCACAAGTGCTAGAAACCAAGAGCGCCGTGTCCGTCAGTGGCTGGTATCGGATAGTAACGCGTGATAAGGGTGAGGTAGAGGAAGAAGAGGGAAGAGAAGACGTGAAGAGGTGCAGGTGGCAGTAGCTCTGGCAGTCCTGTGAATGTTGGAAAATGGGAGAAGGAAGAAGAGGAGGAGAGGAGGAGGAAAGGGATGGCAAGGAAAACGGGAGAGGATGTATAGGTTCACTTCTCGTTTTGAGCTGTTTCACTCCAGTCTTTCGCCTGGGCTTTAATCTGCCTCTCTCTCAGACACACTGTGAATCTGACTCTCTCTCTCTCTCACTGCCCCTCTCTCTCTCTCTCACTGCCCCTCTCTCTCTCTCTCTTACATACACACACTGTCTCTCTCTCCTCTGTAGTCTGATCCGACGGTGGCTGCGTGCTGTCCTGTTTGACAGAGGGGAGATATCTCCAGCACCGGTTGCCGACAGATGCACTTTGTGCACGGAGCAGAATCACAACACGAGAGCCGAGAACAGACACAGAAAGCAATCTCAGTCTGTAGCGGCCGAGCCAGCGAGAGGGAAGATAACACAGAGGAATGATCCCAGTTTCTAAATGATGTGGCACAATCGTGTATTAAAAAAATCCACCGGTTGGTTAGTCAATCCACTGGGTTTCCAGATAGAAGACGAGTGGGGAGAATAAAACCCCACAGTGACTGTGTCCCAGGTGCCCAGCAGAGAAGGAGTCCCTCGTCTGCGATCCTCCCTCTTCCTGCACTTGTAAAATGTGTTCCTTATTTCGTCCTTGGCTCTCTCACTCCTCTAAGCAGCCTGCCTCGTTCTCTTTCCCTCTGTCACACAGTTGCTCTCTCTTACTCTCGCGTGCGCTTTCTCTATCACTCAGCCTCTCTCTCTCTCTCTCTGTCTCTCTCTGTCTCTCTCCTTCTCCTCCACACTGACAGGGCGGTAAAGGGGGGCTCGTCCGAGGCTGCAAGCAGAGCAGACTGCCTCCTCCTTCTCCAGCCCAGCCGGTAGGAGGGTCTTTAGCAGCTCTGTGCGAGAGAAGGCTCCAGACATACACCAGCGGGCTGCAGCGTTTCCACAACCTGGGAGAACGCAGGGAAGAGGAGTGGAAACGAGAGGGGGATGGCGTCAGTGCGAGCAGTCGATTCCCCCTACTGGCTGCACATGGAGCTACCAGCTGAAACACACTGAGCCCTTAAACTTTTCTCTTAACAAACTAGGATCATTTAACCTCAAAACCAGTTAAGGTGGAGAAAACAATTTTAATGTGCAACTTTTAAGAACTTGTGAGTGTGTTTACTTCGATGCAATGTTTAGTGTGTTTCCTAGAGGTGTAACAGTGCACAAAAGTCATGGTTCAGTTCATCCCGTGGCTATGGAGTCACGTCTCAATGAAAGTTTGGTTCAGTAAAATAAAGTTTCATTGCATTTAGTTTGAACAGATGGTGGTACAGGTGTCAAAGGCAGACAAAATCCTCCTGCTGCAGACTGAGGTAACATTTTGTCCACTGGAAACTTTGATAAACTCTTCATTATAAAAATCAGCAACATATCAAACACTTGTGTACAAGCCCGTACAAACACTGTACAAACACTTTACTAAAAGGCAACATGTCGCAACAGGCTATCAAACTGACAAGCATCTTATGCTATGAAACTGAAAATATATAATAAATAGAATAATAAAAAAATAAAGCATGTGCATTAGGAGGAGAGTTACGATAAGTTCCACCTTGGTTATGTTTAAAGCACCCTAACATTTATTGTCCTAGTGATCAGTACATCTTTGTGTAAACAAGAGGACATGCCGTAAGTCTTTACTTTTAAGAGCTATATTCACAAACGCTACATGTAAAGGCAGTGAACAACAATCTCCAAGCACTGACAGAGGAAGTAAAGGGGAAACCAATTCCTGTGTAACATCAAAAGATGACAATGGATGAATCCTCTTCTGATTGACCGAGACCGTGACCAAAAACATCACAAGAATGTCCCGTCGGTGAGGGCTATGCCTGATCACAAGTAACCTCAGTTACAGTCATACTTCTGCAGAGATCAAAAACACAGCGCTCAGAAAGTGCCACTCCTTTTTTCATCTCACACACACAAACGCAGAGGCACACACATGCAGATAGAAACCAACCTTCAGTCCTTGTGGGTATCTCAGTGACTCCGAGGCCACAAGTTCAGAAGCCTCATTTTTCTCTCAATTAACAAATCAACTTGGGTTCCATTTGACTCATCTGACACAAGTCCTGCAAGGGGAAAAAACACAGCCAAAAACTATACCATGAAACGACTGGACTGAAAACAATTACGTTGTGGCAATTTCCGCATCTGAAAATAGATCTCTGACTTTGATGAGTTTAGTTTTGTATTTCATCCGTTTCACTCTAGAGAACAACACAAAACCTCTTGAGGCCGATGTCTCGTCAAACAATAATAACCTAATTACAGATCTCTAGCGCAACACTCGAGATAAGTGAGTTCAGCTGCGGAAAACACACTTTCGTCACCCCTTGGTATATCGCTAATTATTTTTGTTGGATCAATATGTATGACATTGCCAGTGCTGTCGAACTACAATGATTATTTTATAAATTTATTGATCAGTTGCAAGGAAAATAATCAATTCAAGAATTCTGTTTGCAATATAGATAATTTTCAAGCATGAGCATTTGAGACACATTTAATAATGTAGAACAAACCCCACATATTTTTTATGAGGGCTATGTGTCTAGTGCATGTGGACAGACCAAATCAATACCAGCAGAAGAATCCCAGGGACCAAAACAAAGCTCGGAGGGAAAGGGCAGCCTTTTACAGATATATAGAGAGGAAAATATAATTATCAGATAGGCCACTTTTATCCGCAGGAAAGAGATGAGGCTGATATCGATTACGGATTACCAGATTAACAGCCGCTGGATCAACTAGACACATAAACTCTCAGCATCTGGGGAAAGGCAGAAAGTAGAGAACAAAGACAGTCAGATGGACAAAGACCAATGGAGAGAGTAATAGAGAGAGAGAGATACCCAGAGACAATGAGATAAGACACACTGGGAGACAGGACGTGAAGAAGGCACAGAGGCAGAGAAGATTCATATGGCTTTATAACACTGTGCGTCCACTGAGCGACCATGTTAAGTCATCTCTGTATTTCACAGATAAGACTCATCAGTTTCTCTCTTCACTTAAAAATACTGAGATTAAAGGAGCAGAACGGAGTAGTAGGTCAGTTTTAAGCTGATTTTCACACAGATTTTGTCAACATGTGGCTAAAAGTCATGTTTCCTGCTGCAACTGATGCCTCCACCAACAGGAAGTGAGGAAAAATACGGAGCAAAGAGTCCAAATGTGCTGCTAATTACCCATAAATCCATCAAAGTAATAAAAAGAGACAATAAATGAATAAAGGTGCATTTGCACTTTGCTGTGTTACAAGTTTTGATTGATGATTTTTTTTAAATTCTGATTTTATCCAACAACAGTTGTGGATTTATCAATAAGTGAATTCAGAAAAATGCTGGTAGTTTCTTAAGTGTGACAATGTACTGATTTTCCTTGTCATACAGATGCAGCCACCTCTCCTCCCAACTGAAGGCCTTTCGCTGCCAACCAGTTTCCTGTCGGTCTCCAACCAGTTTCGCGTGAACTCCAAGCCACTGGTTTCTCGATAGAATTTGCCTAAATTCTACTGTAATCACGTACAATCTCATTCCAGCCAAGGACCAGATAAGGACCAGACAAGGTCCCAGCTGGGACCAAGCACAGATCTGCCTGGGCCTCATCACGGCGGAACGAGAAATTCGAAGTGGCTGTATCTGTCTATGATCGTTAACTGAGTGTCTCTGTGCTTTGGACTGTTGGTCAGAAAACAGAGCAAGACATTTCACACTATTTTCTGAAATTCTTTAGACAAAAAACACAGACATAGTTAGTTTCAGCCCTAACCTAAACTCATATTTGTAGCAAAACAAATCCCAAATATTTTCTTAACTATGGACTATTTGCTGCTATGTATGACTGCACCCTGACTAACCTTTTCTTAAGTTAATTCAAATTAGTCTACAGAATGGAAACACAGGGGAGTACCATTACACAGACACTGGTCAGCTAAACCATTAATATTCATCGATCCAACCATTAAGAATTAAGAGCCGGGAATTGAGACTTGACTCTTGAAACTAAAGAACTTGACCTGTGGCCCCGCAGACACTAGACAGCACCCTGAGAGCTGGCTGACGTGAACTTTCGGCCTCTGCCCATGAGTTGACTAAGGTTAGTTTATGGAGGCAATTTCAAGCGATGTGACCGGAGAGCAGTAATGCACGCCGTGTGTAAATAAATGTCGGCGCTGCGTCTCATTCTGTGGAAGCAGACCTTGAAGACTGGAAGTGTGTGTTTTGCTCCGGTGGTGATGGAAGCGCTCTGGTCTGAATCAGTGGGACTGACGTCACAGACGGGTGATATGAAGCCAAATATTTCATGGAAAGAGACAGAGTGAGTATCCTGCTTCTTGTATTATTGATACGGATGCAACATCTACTCATTTGCTGTCGAGTCATCTCTGTGTGGTGGTTGTAGAACATGTAAAGATAAGGCTAATCATTTTGATTTTTAAAGGAGCTCGTCAGAGAAGCAAGTCTGAGGCAATTTTCCAAAGATTCTCATTCGTTTCAACCTACTGTGTGTACAGTTGTACGCTGGGGCTTGCCACCCAGAACAGCACGCCAAGTGCCAGACTGTTTCAAAGTGCGTTCAGTGTTCTTCCCAGTGAGTGAGAAGTGATCTGATTTACAAGCTGATTTGTCAAGATGAAGCTCAAACTGTGGCTCTCTGCCATTTTAATATTTAAAAACCTACGCTAAGAAATATTTGCTAATACTCTGCAGCCGGGTCTGTCAAACATTTTCATAAGACAAAGCCAAAGCCATCTGCTGCCCCTCTGTTCTAAGGTCTTTCTTTGATGCTTGCTGATTCACTTTCTAAATTGAGAAGCATGAGTGAGTCATTACAGGACTTTAAAATAGAGAGAGAGGAAGACAGCTGAGGGTATATCTTGCCCCTGAAGGTGTTAAGCAGTTACAATCCCCCTCTAAAAGAATCAGACAAGTCTAGTAAAAGAAAACCACAGCATGATCACAGCGTGGCCTCTGGTCTGAGCGGTTCAGAGAGAGTGGGATTTTTTTTTTTAGCCTTTATTTAAACAGATCAGTCATTTCCTTACTTGGCAAATTTGCATAGCAGTGAAAGCGAGAATTTTTTTGGGGAGATATTTCAATTATATTAACATCCATAGAGATATTAGAGTCCTGAAGAGCTGCCCTTTTGTTCATTGACTGCTCTGACAACACCAGTTATTCTGCTAATGCCTTGAGTCTTTATTAAAACAACCCAGTCAGCAGAAGATAATGTTGATATTGAATGTTTCATATGTATCATATCAACGTTTCTAAAATGACACAGATCTGATTAAATGTATATGACCAGATTTTGTTATTGGAGGTGGAGGAGATGGCAGCTAGCACATCACCTAGGGGAGACAGTTGCCAGGCTGCAGACCACTGTTTGAGACCAAAAAACAACAAAAACGGTAATTATATAGTGAGACATCAGCTGCATTTTCAGCCATAGCCAGATGCAAAAATCTTGTAGATCCACGACTATAACTGTGTGTACGCACAAATGTAGAAATGCACATAAGCATTCTTTTCATCACATTGACAAAGCTGTGCATACGCTTGATTCTGTCCTATAAATCTTAATTATTGTGGCGCATGTGCATGAGCTTCATTTCCACACCCACAATTCGACATAAATGGATGTAAAAACATTTGCATATCAATACTTGTGCCCCTCCACCATTATTGATTAGACATGTCAGTGAGAAATATGGTAATGAAAGTGCAATTTCACCAATCTCTGTCACATTGGCGAGGTTCTCCAAGAGTGCCAGAGCAGCTGTCACCACCCACGGCTGTGGACACTGTAGCATTTGTACTACTAACTCATCACGTT